TACCTAATTCATTACTGAGAATGTTTCATTATTGTATTTGGTTTGTTTAGCAGGAATGCAAGATTATAGTGTTTGGTTAAATAAATAAAAGATTACTGGGATGTATATTTTACCAAATTGTCCTTATTATATATTTATTTTTTAACAAGCTGAATTCTAAATATTCAAATGAAAATATTTGTATAAAAGATCATAGAAAATATATAATTTTACTATTTTTAATTTATATATTTTCTTTATAAAATTTAAATTCATAAAATTTATATAATTTTTTACAAAATTTAAAAGATAAATAGGTTTAATGAAAGGGTTTAATTTTATTTTAACCTCTGAACTTCATATAAAATTCTAATTGTGAACTTTTTTGTAAATCTAAAACAATTTAATGATAAAAAATAATATTTTTTAAAAAAATGATTTTAGGACATTTAGTTCAAAACCATAGGAAATGATAAATACTTAGGTAATTGGGGGAATGATATTCCGGTAAAATATCCCAAAGTGCCACTGTTGGGAAAATGTAAAAAATTTCCCCCAGGGAATCTTCTTTCCCCAATCCAAACACCCCTAACAGAGTAAAATCATGGCTACTATTTCTGAAGACGGAGAGAACAAAGGTTGAATGCATGGCACTTTTGCTCATCGTATGCAGCCACGAGACACTGGATATGTTGCCCTCGATGATGGGCGGAAGCTTTGCCTGGAGTGTCTAGATTCTGCAGTTACGGATAACAAGGAATGCCAACCCCTTTATCTCGATATACAAGAGTTTTACGAAGGGTTAAATATGAAAGTCGAGCAGCAAATTCCATTACTCCTTGTTGAAAGGCAGGCTTTAAATGAAGCCAGAGAGGGAGAAAAGAATGTAAGTTATGTTTTTAGATTTTAAGATGGAATGAAAGGCTTTAAATCGGACGGCTCTGGGCATGCTTCTGCTTAATATTTTTTTTTTTGAAATACCATGTTTTCAATCTTGTCTTAGTGCTAAATGGAAACGCTTTCAAGCTATGTTAGTATGACTTGGGTGTGAGTGTTGGATATGGATGTGTCCAGCACGGATTTGTACAATCTTCTTAAGTTTTTTCATGTATTTGAAGGGTCTTCGGAGGATCATATCTCTATACTCATTTCTGGATGTGTTAGATATGGGGAATTTAAGAAAAATGCAGAGTAGGAGCATTATAGCTTGTGAGAGAAAGTGTTATCACTTCTTTGTTTGTGTAATGATTGCATTCTATAATTTTTGTTATGCAGGGCCATTATCATATACCAGAGACGAGAGGACTCTGCCTTTATGAGGAACAAACTGTCAGCACTGTAAGAATATTGGAAATTCTTTTTTGCTTTAACATTCGATATAACCTTGAAAATTTCCATTGGTGGATTTTGTATCGCTCAAAGATTTATACCATCTTCAACATGAAATCATCAGATTCTAAGGCGACCAAGTTTTGGGATCGGAAATCTTGCCTTGGACATAATAACAGAACCCTACAAATTGACACTTAGATGCGAAGTGACTGCAATTCTCATTTTATATGGCCTGCCAATGTATTGTATTATTTTCCATGGTTGTTTCCACCTAGCATTTTCAAATCTATAGGAATTATGATGTTCGTAGTTTAAAAAGTAATGAAGTGAACCGAAAAGGGTGAACTCAACAGGGAAACTGCTTGAAAGAATTGTAGTATTGATAGCCTCTTCTTTATCTAACTTATGTGCCCCTTTCTCGAGTGTCGGATATTTGTTGCAGATGATGCTAACTTCGATGTTACACTTAATCTTCAAGTTGATGTAGTCGATGAAAGATCGAAAATTTTGTTCACGCAGGTTACTGACTGGGTCAATCTTAGCTCACGAGATGATGCATGCATGGATGCGACTTCATGGTACTTTCCATTTCTATCTTAATACGTACAAAAAGAAAAGATATTTCGGTTTCGAATATAGAAACATTGGCTGAGAATGTGCTCTACTTGTTTGTCAGGTTTCCAGACTCTCCGTCAGGACGTCGAAGAAGGAATTTGTCAGGTATTAGCGCACATGTGGTTAGTTACTCAGCTCGATTCATCTCCTAGTAGCAATGTCGCACCGACATCATCCTCAAGCTCTATTAGATTAAGAAAAGGGAAAAGGCCTGAATTCGAGAGGAAGCTAGGGGAGTTCTTCAAGCTTCAAATTGAATCAGACACATCGCCTGTATATGGAGATGGTTTTAGAGCAGGCCATTCGGCAGTTTACAAATTTGGTCTTGGAAGAACCCTTGAACATATTCGGATGACTGGCAGATTTCCTTACTGAGAAAGTTGAAACACACAGCCATTCCATTTTGATTTTCTTTCTTTCTTTCAAATGTACATGAAATTAGATCAAGTGTTTGATTGATAAAATATAAGATTATCATAAATATATATTTTATTAGATTATTATTATTATTTATATAAAAATAAATTTATTTCATTTAATATATTTTAGACTCAATCTCCACAAAATTATTGTAATTCTTTTTTATTATAATTTATATGTTAATAAATAAAAAATATAATATTAAAATAAATTTGTAAATCATAAATTATAATAATCATTAAAAGTGATTGCTTCCCTATATATTGTAAACATATTTAATATACTGGTAAATAAATGATTAGAGTAAATATAATAATTAAAATTTTAGAGTAGGATACATCTACTTATCACTACTAAGAAAAAATATTGATTTTTTTAATTGGACTGAAATTTACATGAAACAAAGGATTGAACGGACTATAACAAGAAAAGTAAAAGATAAATTGAGTCGATTTTACTTATCAGAGTGACGCAGGTGGAACATGGGCGAAAGTTTTTGGAAGAGGAGCTGTGCCTGTCATTCGACTGCTTTAGCATACAGCCTTTGTTGTTGTGACCTAAGAACCCACAATGGTAGGAAGAGCCCGGTACTCTCTCATAAGCAAATTGGACGACAATATCTTTATTTTCCGTTTTAGTTTGAGCCCTACTAGCAGTGGTCCATCAACGTTGACAGCTGTAGTTTATTCATAGTTAACGTGAATAACAAACCTTCTCTCGTTGTAGTATAGTGGCAAGTATTTCTGCCTGTCACGCGGATCCCCAGCAACGGCGCAAAATTTTAATTTTTCCTCCTTTTCTATCGAAATAAAAAATGCTTGAAATGAACATAACTGGCGTCGCCCGAACTTGAATCGGAGACCGGCAATGTGTTAGACTAACGTAATAACCAACTACACGACAACGCCTGAATCCACTATGTTTTATAATTTCTCTACAACTTTTCGTCTTTTTCATCAATACAAATGAAAGATGGAAATTTATTCCCTATTGTCATTGAGTTCAATGGTCAATTATGGAGTCTGACCCAAAAGTCCGAGGTTGAAAAATCAATTTCAGGGAGTGGTGAAATGGAAGGCCATTTCTTCAGAGCAAGGTGTGCATTCATGATGTGTTTCTGAACATTCTCATTAACAACGTTGTATGGTTCCAGGTCCATGAAATCAAGGTTGAGGATATTATAGTTTTTTGCATCATCTCAAGTAATTTTCTTTCTCCTAATATCATTTTTACATAATAGTAGAAGAAGATTAGCTGAGATGAAGCAAAAACTTTCAAATCTGCAGGTTCACCAGACCTCCTTCAACCCATGTGCTTAAAGCTTAATCCGATGAACTAAAGAGCCATAACAATCAACAACAACAACAAAAACTTTGAAATTGGTGGATCAGATAACACTAGGAAGCTGAAAAAATGAAGCCACTTTAGGACCACATGCCAGTAAATGAAACAGATACCAACAATTCAAATCCACAAGTATAACGGATAAAAATAACACTTGCAATAGCCACAAATCATGTGGTGGTTGTTTGAAAGTATCTAAAGGACTAAACAATCACTGGACGCCACCATCATTTTGATCATATAGATCCTTTTCCAGTACCAACACCACCAACTTATGCTATAGCCTGCATGTGTGTACACATGACAGGAGAAGATCCACAGAAAGGCATTGCTTCCCGTTTCGAAAAGGTAGAGTTCCATGTCCCAACCAGCGGACCGCTGACAACAAGAAACGACATACACCATCATCTGTAGCAATACATAACTACTGATGTGCATATCCATGTAGACAGGCGAAAAATAGCAAGTAAGCTAATATGCATTGTTAGCAAAAAAGAGCAATGAATGCTGTATTATCTCTCTAGTTGATATTCGTAGTCCATGGCTCCATGCACAATTAGCACTAGAATCACAACCTGGGTTTGCAAACTCAAGCGGTGTCGAGCAATATGTGAACAACTATGCAAACACATGGAATTGCTCTATAACTCCGGTCCAAAAAGGGAACCATTTCTTTATCACTGCATAAATAAAACCATTTGTTCATAAAGTCTCAAATGAGGGGAAAGAACAGTGGAAATCAAACTTTGAGGATGTGTTGATAACTATGCAAATGCTTATATCAAAGCTTTAACCGCAGGGAGAAAAAAACTCCACCTACACTATTGATATTCAACCATCTATCTAGTTCAACTCTGCCATCCCCTTTTATATACTAAAGAAATAACCAGTGACCATGAAATATAGAAGGCAAAGACAATCTATTTAAAATGCAGGAAGCTCTAACTTATGAATAGCTAGGCAGTAGGCACATAAAATACCACTGCATTTCATTTTCACCTAACACTTGAAAATATTGTGACTAGAATTCCAATAAATAAGCTGAAAATACATGACCTTGCTCTCATGACTCAAGAATTTTGCTGAAACTGTTATAAAAGAAGGCAAAGATGCACAGGAGGGAAAAAATCAGAGTATATTGAAGATGCTATAACACAATGATACTTTTCAACCATAGAGGAGCAAAATATTTCCCAATACACTAACACAAAAGCAAACCAACAGCATTCCACATATTAATGGCAACCATCAAATAAACAAAAATGGATATCGGAAGTACTATACAATAAATTCCCAAACACCAAGCAAAAAACAAAAACGAAAATGCATTTGATAGATTTACACAAGATATCGGACTGACAATCCTAAAATATGTCAGCAATTCATGCTTTGATAGCAGATTTGACCTATTGATAAATCATTGCAAAGATAACACACACAAAGATAACCAAAAACAGCATCTTCAGATAATGATCCTGCTGGCCTTGTGCGGTACGATGGTGGTGGTGGTGGTGGTGGTGATGGTGATATCCATGAGCATGGCCACCATGATATGAATGTTGAAACCCAGCAGCTGGACCAAACATGGCCGCTTCAGGAAATCCATGGCCCTGAAGATTAAACAGCGACGGGAGAAGTCCACCAAAAGCAGCAGATAGTGTAAAATTCCCAAACCTCGCTGTTGTCACTGGTGCAAAGCCTCCAAAGCCTCCCAAGCCTCCCATGAACCCGAACCCATTTTGGGGAAACTGATTTGGATCAGGTGGAGGAGCCGTTTCAGGTCTCTGTCCAGCTGGACGATTCGGAATATTAACACCCGGGATAGATTTCGACCTAGGATCGGTAGATGATTTTCCCCTTCCATACAAAGGGACCAATTTTTCTTCCTCAACAAGGGCCTTACAAACAGGACATTCGTGAGAACGGGAATGAACATGAAGCCATTTGTAAAGGCAAGGCCAGCAGAAAAGATGACCACATAAAGTGACAATGGGGTCTTGTGCTAAGTCAAAGCAGATATTGCACTCAAAATTACCAGCATCACCATTAGCATTGTTGCTAGAGCAAGATGGATTCTGGGGCGAATGGCTCGCTGGTTCCCCATACCCACTTGCCATTTGTTCCAAAATTAGGATTCCTATAAAAATCATATTGAAACCAAACCAAACACCAAAAGTACAATCCACTAGTATCAGTTTCACCAGAAAATGCAAGAATACAATATAATTGGATTTATAAAAAAAATTGGAGGACGCCATATCAAAATCAAAGCCTCTAAAGACTCATTTGATTGTTGAGAAATTAAGTAATCTCAAATGCAAAAAACATCAGATCTCTTATGAAAATCAGCATAACAAACGAAAAAATATAACGCAGAACAATTAATCAACGAGGAACATCGGGATTCAAGGGTCATAAAAAATGAAGGAAACAAATCTAGCATTCAAAACTAAAAAGAGAAAAAAAATTACTGACCTTCAAAGAGATTGAGGAGATCAAAGGACCTATCGATTAGGCAATCGACCGATCCAAAAGAGTCAAGATAAATAATAAAATTAGAAGAAAAAAAATGGAGATCGCAGAAAAAAGAAATGTCCTTGGAGAAACTTAGTAGCTATTTATTGACGCGTTTACAGCGGAGAGATTCCCATAATTCTTCGTTTCTATGTTTTAATGCGCAATAATAACGTTTGGGTTCTGAAATCTCCACGTGGCGGTTGGTTAATTTCTCTTGACTAGTCGTAGACCTGTGTGGTTTGTATCGGCAAGCTAACGGCGTTAGAATGTGGATGCGAAAGTTGCACGCTTTGAAAAAAAAGGCTTAATGTATCTTAGGCCCTCAAACTTTTCAAAAAATTCAATGTGGTCTTTAAATATTTTTTACGCTCAAACTCCGCGGCGAGGGGGGGGGGGGAGGGGGGAACTCTTAGTGGACCCAATTTTTATAAGTAACAAGGCTAATACCTCAATGGCAGAAACCCAGACTTTCCACTAGCAATAAAATGATTAGATATATAATTTTAAATCTGGCCGTGGTAACCAAACCATGAAATGGATTTTTTTTAAGTCATAATTTTATTACAATAATCAAATGGCAAGAAACAGCTAGGTTTAAAGTAATAATGTTACAAATAATCTGCAAAGACTAGGGAGATGACAATTAGGACCCTCATTGTACAAATACTTAACTGGTTAGCTAGATGAATACAATGGGAGGATGAAGAAAGATTTATAATACCATCTGCCGGCCTAAATAAGGACCCGCCAATATTTCAGAACATCTGGCCTTCATTCTCCTGCTACAATCTTTCTCGTTACTAAGATTGATCTGTGTGATTAATCAAGAAAAGGATAAGTTGCTCAGATGAACTTATTCACGAGATAAGCAGAAGTTCTCCACATATTTAGTTACCATTTCTGTTTCATGATTCTTCTTTATATCCTTTTTGACATCGGCATTGCAGCACTGTTGGTATCTGAAGCAAGTTACAAGATGATCGTTAACCATTCCCGCCACTTGCATGAACGAATAAACAACAGTAGGTCCGACGCATCGGAAGCCTCTCCACATCATATCCTTGCTCATGAGTTCAGCTTTTGAGGTCTTAACTGGTACTTGACGTGCATAACGGAATCCATTATTTAATGGTTTGTGGTTCACAAATCTCCAGCAATAGCTGCTGAAAGACCCAAATTCTTGCTGAACCTGCAATATTTTAACAAAACCTTAGGGTTTTAACATACAACTACATCTTGTTTTCTGATCACGCTCACGAAAGCTGCCATAGGAAACTTAAGTGCTTGGTGTGCGAACAGAGGGAAGGGAAACAACTTTGCAGTTTGCAGATACAACAAATTAGCAACTATCATCGATAACTTGCTATAATATCAAACATGAAACTACTATAACAAATACGGCACTGGCATGCACCTAAGTAAGGATGAGAGACTGATAATCATATAATTACCTTAAGTATCTGTTTAGCATTCTCCAGTGTTGCACGTAGCTTTGTTTCGGAAAGCAATAGGCTACCATCATCTTTCAATGACATCATCTTCTTCTCGGTGAGCTGCGCAATTGATGAAGGATCAAAATTGTTGAAAAGCTTCCTGCAAAAAGAATCCAGCAATAAACAGAACACTCATCAAACTATTTCTCATCTCCTTTTATAGTTGATAGCTTTAGATATAAATGAATAAATAAAGAGAGAAGAAAACGAGAGACATAAGGAGATGTACCTGAATATGTCTCGCTTATTGAGAATCGTTGACCAGCTGAGTTAGGCTAAGGCTTGTGAAAAGACCAGTAGTTCAAACAGCTTACCGTCATCATGAACTGGAACACCCCACTCTTTTTCATGGAAAGAAGTATACATAGGGTCTGCAAAAATAACAAAATTGTATATTTCTTTATTAGCTTTAGACAAAACCAAAGGGTTTTCTGTCGACACAACTGCTTGAACCCTTCAAACATATCCTTCGTACACAATTGCTCAAACCCGAGAAATGAGTTTGAAACATATTTCAATTAACATGGAAAGGAAATATGCCTGAATTTCCAGACATTTATTTCACTTTAGTGTCATTTCCAAAGAACCAAGCGATGTAATAAAAGCTTTCAACTTCTCCAGCAAAGAAAACTTGAATGAACCTTAAATAGTTAAACCACCAACGTCATCATCATTTATTAGGCACCACCATGTTCATATATCTAACAAAGCACAACTATGTTCAAATAAAATAAACTAATGGTCTCAGTAAAATCAAATCTTTATCCCAAAGCAATAATATCTCCCTCTTGTTAAAAATAAAATAGCTAGCTCACCAGAAAACAGAGTGATCCAATCACATCGTTTTAACGGCGGGGACATTGCCGGAGAAAAGTCCATGACGGACTCGTTAGAAGTTGGAGCAACCTTGGCTTCGATCGGCTTCACTCCGTTTCGCTTAACGGTTTTCCTAGAGCTTACCATTTTGACGGAGGAGTTGCTTGAAGAGGAGTCAGAGGAACAAGAACTGTCAATGGAGACATTTCTTTGTACAATCGACTGTGTGCATCGGGAGACTGCATTTTTCGGTCTTTGTGGAATTTTTAGACCTTCGTTTCTTCTCTTAAATTCGCCCAAAATCCTAACCCTGTTCCCGGCCTGACCGAGAATCACCCGCGGTTCCGCCACCGGTTCTTGTGATGACTTAAGCTTAGTAGCAACCGACATTGCTTCGAAAAGTGAGAAACCTTCAAATGTGAGCTTGTTTCCCGCCTGATTTGAGTTCCAAGAACATAAAGTTTGAATTTTTACAACAAATACCGGCAATTTCACCGTCTTCGGTAAGCGTGGAGGGTAAAACGGTCAGGAGAGATTAACAGATATTGGGTTTTTTGAGAGCTGGGGAGCGTAGGACGTGTAAGAGAAAAGAGCAGAGCAAAAGCTAAACGACAGAGGGCTTCTCGAAGGTTTTTGAAAACAGAGATACCTGTAAATTGTAAGGTACCAGTGACATGGCCCGCTTGTGGGTTAAGTTTTACCGCTTTGGTTTCCACGGGTTGGATTGGATATTTGCTCATGTCTTTACCAGTTTACCTTCTTAATTATGATAAAAATATGTGTTCGAACTAATTACGTAATCTTAATGATAAAAATAATTATTTTTATTTTTTTCAGATCTTGAATTGAAGCGTGAACATGCTAAAATTATACTCATATTTAATTTCATGTGCATAATGATTTTTTCGTTAAAAATAAGATGATAATATTTTTTACGTTATATTTTTAAGTGTTTGAATTATAAAGATCTTTAAAAAATACAGTTATCTAATACATGTCACTAATATATTTTTTTAAGTTTTATTTTAGAAAATTTAAAAATATATTATTATTTAAAAACCTCAAATTTCTTTAAAATTTAAAAAAAACTAAATCTTAAAACCTCTAATTTTATACCTCATTTTCAGCCATCACTATTCATTTTCAGTCATCGCCACCACTTTCAGTACCATCCACTCACTGACCGACTATCATTTTTGTGATGATTGCAAAGCTCCAAATACATAAACTCTTAAAACCCTAGTCCTTAATTTAATGGGTGGTATCTCAAATCTCCTACCCTAAAACTAATGGGTAGGGTTTTAATTAGGTATTAAGAAGACTAGGAGTTGAGAGTGATGGACTGGAAGAGAGGAAGATGAATGGGGTAGGGCGGTTTGCGTAGGGAGGGAACGACGTGATTTTTAAAAAAATGTTTTTTCTAATATTTTTTTATTAAAAAATAAAATTTTCAAATAAATATAAACGTGACACATAACAATTAATATTTTTTGACGACTACCACGACGTACACACGTAAAAATATAACGTCTGAAACGTTAAATACTTAAAAATAATGGAGAAAACATTAGACACATATTTTAACAAAAAATTCTCTAGAATCTAAAATTAACTTTGGTTATAATTTAAACACTTATTTTACATTAAGAAAAAAATATAAAATATCGTTTTATTTAAAAACATAACAAAAATAAGTTTACTGCTTAAACTATTAATTTTATTCTATTTTGATACTTAATCTTTATTTTTTTTAAAATCATACTTAACGTTTAATTTAGATTTTAATTTGATATCTCATTGTTTAAAAATAATATAAAAGTTGATGTGATATTTTTTTTTAAAAAAATCAATGATGATATGATATTACCTTATGATCACACGTTAACATTACTGTTAAGATTTTAATAATGTATATTAAATTGAAACTTGAACTAAATATTAAATATAATTATGAAAAATAAAAAAAGTTTAAGAATCAAAACGAAACAAAAATATAGTTACCCTAATATGTATTATAATCGAAAAAGTATTTGCATGTTATATATAGAGTTAATTGAATTAAATGTCCTTAAAGTACAATCCTCATTTTAAATTAATCTATAAACTTTTAAATGTTTCAATTTCATTCCTAAACTATGACTATCATTCTAAATCAATCCTCAAACTTTTGAATATTCCAATTTTATCTCATAATTTGACATGCATTTTAAATTTGTCCCCAAACTTTTTGAACATTTCAATTTCATCCCAAACAATACATATATTTACTAATCACGTCCCTTGATAATAAAATCGTTAGGCCAAGTTATATTATTATATGTTTCAAAAAAATAAAATTTAGGTTAAACTATGGTTGAAACTAATTATACATTTGGATGAATTTGAGGATGAAATTGGAATATTTAAAAGTTTGGGGACCAATTTTAAAAAAGGGTCATAGTTTATGGATGAAATTAAAATGTACATAAATTTAAGGACTGATTTAAAATAAAATTCATAATTTGAGGATGAAATTAAAATATTCAATAATTTAAAATAAGAATACTTTGGGAACATATAGTGCAATTAACTAATGTCACCCAAATATCGTAACTTGTAAGTTATCTCAGGACCTCTTGCGTCGCATTCGTTTGGTAATGAAAAACAGCTGATTGGGTGGGTGGCGTTGTGTCGACACTTGGCAGTTAAGTCCTTTTTCCTTTATTTTCTCTTTCTTAATGTTGAGAAAGGGTAAGAATCCAAAGCTTACATAAGACCATGATTGTACAGAATTGGACCAGATACATTCAGATTTGGTAATATGACCGGTTGAATCAATGGAGTAAAATTAGAAATTATGTGTTATTATAAAATCGAAAATCTGAATAGAAAATATAATCTAACTAATCAGATTATATTTTAAATTCCTTTTAGTTTTTATTTTTCATTAAGTTTTCAAATTTCATTTAATTATTTTTTAATCATTATTTTTGAGAGAAAATTTTTTGACAAATTTATTGTTTAAGGAGATAATATTTTATCAACAATCAGTGGTCTACTAGAGATAATATTTTATCAACACTCAATTTATTTTACCAACAATCAATTTTCTAGTGAAAAAAAGTTAACTGTTTTATTTACTCAATTTAAATAGGATAAATAAAAAATTTCGTCACTCAAATTTTCACTCTTATGTTGATAATTAAAATTAAATTTTTAAATATTTTAATTTACCCACTCGATTTTCAATTTACTTTTACTTTAGTCATTCTATCGTTAATACTTAACGGTATTATGGTCATATATTTTTCTTTTACAAATTATGAAACAAACACAAAATATTTTCTTATTTTATATGAAAAATAACCTAGTTTTATTTTTTTTATTTCTAGATGATAAAAATGCATCTTTTTTCAAATCTCAACGGTGAAAAAGTTGAGAAAGAGAAAACAAGATGTATATCTTAATTCCACATTATTTAAATGTTGGATATTATAGATCAAAGTGGTTTGAGAGTTAACAAGCTTTGAGATTAGGATTAAATTTTATGAGTTTTAGAATGATTTTAGGTAAAATATAAATTGATTGAGTGATAAAAGGCAACGATATGAGTGTGTCGATATCTTGAGTAGTTGAAGAAGACTACAAAAAATGATAATTATAGTATTGATATGACATATAGATAGAACTATAAAAATTTTACTTTTTTGGAGGGGAAAAAAAGAAAAAAATGACGTAAAAGACATATTGGTTTCATATAATAAAAATTGTTTCACATCAGCACATCTTGCATTCTATCACTATTAAATTTATGATTTAATCGAGTGATCAAAATAAGAATACATTGAAAGTTTAATAAATAAATTAAATTTTTTAATTTTAATAGTCAAAATAGAACGAGGATAAAATTGATGATGAAATTTGTAATTTACCTAAACTAGAGAGCCTAGATGGCGGTCCCACTGTTATTGGAGTCGAAATCAAACGGTTAACTCCATCGGCGTTTCATTAAACGACTGCCGTTCGCTGCATATTTGTTTGTTTATCAACAATAAATAAATAATCAATAATTTAGAAAATTCCAATTTTTTGGCATTTGGTTTTCCCAGTAATAAACCAAGGCCTTCACGAGGGACGTGGCGGCCGATGATCAGAGATTTGCAGAAGAATCCATGGCGGTTTTCCCTGATCTAAGGAAAGCTTTCGTTTCCGATCCTAAACATTCATTTCCTCCGCCGTACATTTCTGATCAAATCCAAGTCCCATATATAATCTATTAATTATCTCTGAATATAACAAATAAACATATTTAGGGAACCATTAGATTCGTAGAATCAACATGGGATCCGAACTCAATAGCATTAATACAAAACCGGCCAAGACCGGAGAATCAGACCCCAACGACGACAGCCCTCTCCTTGAATCCGCTGCCGAAGATATCCAGGAGCTCGAGAAGAAATTCGCTGCCTTCGTGCGCAATGATGTGTACGGTTCCATGGGGCGTGGAAAGCTGCACTTGAAAGAGAAACTCCTGATAGGCATCGCCCTCGTCACGCTTCTCCCTATACGTCTCGTTTTGGTAATGGCTATTCTGGCCGTATATTACTTGATTTGTAGAATTTTTACGCTATTCTCGGTTCCGAATCTGGAGGAAGAGCAGGAAGATTTTGCACACTTGGGTGGGTGTAGGCGAGCCGTGATTGTCCAGTCGGGCCGGTTTCTATCTAGGTTGCTGCTTTTTACGGTAGGATTTTATTGGATTAATGAAACTCGTAAGGACTCAGCAAACACCCAAGAGAATTCAAAAACTGAGGTAGGATTATACTTATCCAGCAGTTTTAGTAGTCCAATTTGACAACTTTAAAGATATTTATATGCATTTAATTATGCATAAGAAGTAATTGCTTTATATTTTCCTGATTTTTCTATTTATCGGTGTTTGATTTTTCTACGAAGTACCAAACAGTCAGAAGAGCAAGAAAGGCCTGGGGCAATCGTATCAAATCACTTATCATATTTAGATATCTTATATCATATGTCCTCTTCCTTTCCAAGTTTTGTTGCCAAGGTCAGTTTACTTTAGCCACTCTTCTCGTTTTGGTTGTTGATTGTGGTATAAAAGGTAAGTTTTTGCTGGTTTAACTGACACATCTCTTGTTTGGTTTTTTGAATTGAAATGCTTGGATTTTATTGCTGAAGAAATCAGTGAGTAAACTTCCCTTAATTGGTCTTATCGGGTGAGAGTTCATTTTATCCATGTAAATTTCTCCCGTGGTTTGGTGCAAAACAATCGGCAGTTTGGTTGTCATTGTTGGTTTTTTTGTTTCTTATTAAATTGATAAGTTGTTTCCTTTTTTCCTTTTAATTCTTGATATAGTTATGGGAGTTATGGCAATAGTTTTTTCCTTTATTTCACTATAAGCTCCTAATCTACAAGGTTCATATCTTATGTTGTAGCAATGTCTAGCGAGCGAACCATTTATATTAGAATAAGAATATTCAGTTTTGGTAAATGTTTTGAGTGCATCAGTTTATCCATTTGCTTTTGACAGTTATATGTTTCTTTTGTGTCGTATGTTTCCTACCATTTCTATATTTTGTGTTGTTTGTTGCATTCCTAGTATAAATAGATTGGTTTGAGTTGGAGCGATGAATGATATTTGGCTTGTTCTTACAGAAAATGTCTTGGTTGTGTCTATGTTCAGCGAGAGTCGAAATCATCAGACGTCAAAGGTGTTGCAGGTAGAAAAACTTACAACATCCAACTTGTTCTTTGCCTTTAAGTGATCAAAAGTACAATGCCTTACTTTTTCTCTTTCAGGCATTGTGACCGACAGAGTTCGTAATGCACATCAAAATGAATTGGCTCCAATGATGATGCTCTTTCCAGGTTAATCATCTTATGTATTCTCTATGCATTTATCACAAGGTTTAATTTATGGTACCTGCACTACTGTCTGAGTGTATATTTATGTGTGTAGTTGGTGTTTCCTAGCATTCTAAGCATCTATTTTCCTATACCCATCCAGAACTAGTAAAATTTGATTTATATTCTTCTCGACAACAGAAGGAACAACAACTAATGGGGATTTCCTCCTCCCATTCAAGACTGGTGCCTTTTTAGCCGGAGCACCTGTAGTGCCTGTTATATTAAGGTACCCATACCAAAGATTTAGTCCAGCCTGGGATTCAATATCTGGGGTGAGTATCCATTAAGCAAAATCAAAACGGCTTTGTGATTTCTGGTAATCAATTGTTTTTCTTACTTATTAAGTAGCTGATCAATACATGTAACTGATCACCGGGTATAAAAAGACAACACATGAGAAATTTTGGTTTGCTTTTGTTAGTTATTCGGCTGTCTTAACACAAATAATTCGTGCACTATAGTTACAAAGATGCTGATTTTGTTCGTAACAGTAATATTCTGGTGACGTTTTGTTGGTTTGCTTTGTTTTACGAGCTTTTTTGCTTCCTGTTGGAATTAATGCTGGTAAGCTGGTCTAAATTGCCCTTTGTAGGTGCGTCATGTGGTTTTTCTTCTGTGTCAATTTGTTAATCACTTGGAGGTAACATGGTTACCTGTTTACCACCCATCGCAGCAAGAGAAGGATAATCCACAACTATATGCTAATAATGTCCGAAAACTGATGGCCGCTGAGGTATGTATGTACCATCAACTTTGTTTTGAAATTGTCATGTTATTTGCGTGAACTCTTAGATATGTCTCTCACATTGCTCTCCACGGTTTGTATAAAAGCTAAACCAGGGCCTTTGAAGAAAATATTCTATGTTAATAAGTTCAGATAAATCATAAAATGCAACTCCATTGACATTCATCAGAGGCTTATAGTATATACGACACTATTGCTTTAACTGCCTTCATTTTTATGTTGCTTGAACTTGGTATGGTATGAAGAGTTGAAGCATTATAGCTTTTCTTTTCTTGCCTACAGGTTGGTTTGATACTTTCGGATATCGGGTTGGCCGAGAAGCGAATATACATTGCCGCTCTCGACGGTAATAATAGTCTTTCTAGTGTTTTGCATCAGAGAAACGATTGATAAATTCTTCAACCTTGCTTCCGCATGTTTATCTATTCTCAGTTAAGTTTTTCGTAGTTTACACTGACAACACCATTGCAATTATGTTGTGAACTTTATTCATGAAAAGTATGGCCATGATCATCTGCTATAAGCCACCCCTAGGGTTCTTTTGTTGGTTTCATAGCTATGTATCTTACTGAGGCTCTTCTTTTCTTTTTAATTTGTGTTGAAATATATCTGAACATGGGAAAGATGTCTGTTTCGAAATATATACAAAATATGTTAAAATTTGAAGTAAATCATCTCGAAAATATATATTTATATCCGACACTCATTTGGAGCCCGAGTTTTCTAATTACGCATTAACAGTTAGTTGACTACTGTAAATCTGAAATGTCTTTTTTTTTTTTGGTTCCTGCAGGTTTACTTGGTCAAAGCTAGTTTGGATTCTCCATCTGTACAGTCATTGTTTGATTCTATTGTTTATGTTAAAAAAGAGAGTTTCCTTTATTATCGGATATAAATATATATTTTCCTGAAATGCTAATTGTTTTTTTTTGGATGATATTAATGTAATTCGTACAGTTGCAAAAATTATCTTTTAATTTTTTTCCTCACTGAAATTTATTAAATTGATTATTTTGACTCATTTTTTAGAGTATTTTGACCCCAACATATTTTGGCGTAGAAAAGCCCCACTATTAATGAAAATCTTTAATTAACACATGATTAATGTTTTAAAATAGGGGTCTTTTTATCTTAAAATAAAATGTTGAGAGTTAAAATGTTCCACAAAAAAGAGTTAAACTAATTATTCTATCAAATATTTGAGTATTTTTATCTTAAAATAAAACGTTGAAAATTTAAATACTAAAAAAATTTAAAATATACCATTTTACTAAAGGTTGAGCTGATTTTGGACATTATACCTTATTTTTACTGTATTTTATTTAATATTTATTTAGTATTGAACTTTCTTCGGTGCAATAAATATTACTTATAAATGTTTTTTTTATTTTTTTTTAAATTGAAATAATAATTTTAATAGATAAGGTAAATGAATATATTAAGAATCAAAATCTGTTGAGTGATTTAACAAATCTTTATTAAAAAAAACTAGAATCATTGGATCATTTATTTGCTTTATTTTTACTTAATATCACGTTAATTACCTAATTTAAAATTGAAATGAGAAAATGATAATTTAAATAAAAAGTTGAACAATTTAATTTTTCTAATAAAATCAACAGAAGATTTAGAAAAACTATTACATTTATTATTTACACAGCATTTTTCTAAGTATATTTTAGTGTAGTTTTTTTTCTTATTTTATTTCATGAAATTTCAATCACTTAATTATCTACACATAATTTTTTGATTAAAATTATCTACACATAATAAAATTATGGATACTGGTTAAAAAAACTTTATTAATTTAGACAATTACATTCATTGGTCTGTCTCAGAGGAATAAATAAATCAGCATCTCAAATTAACAATTTTCAGCACATTAGTGTTGTGTTACAAACATGACAACATACTGAGAAACAAAACAACACCAAAACAAATCTTCAACCATCAAAAGCCTTTTCTTGGAGCTTGCTAGGGATGCACTCAAAATGCCAAAGAAAAAAAACCCTTAATTCTTACCTTTCCTTTCCACAAAAAACATTGTTCCATCTATTTTTTCGATTCCGATGATGGTAGTAGGCAGTTTTTTGAGGAAGATTGAAGTTGCAAAGATTTCCGCTGCCTTGACACAAAAGCCAGGCAACTAAAGGCAGATCGTAGTCTCTTCTTCTCACTATCTTGCGGTTCGTAATTTGGATCGTGTCTTACAACTGAAGTTCTAAGGCCTTCAGGAAGAATGCAGTTGAGCATTGAACCTGGCACAGAGACAAGTTTGAGACGGGTAACAAATACAACATTGTGACAAGGAAGACGACATCAGAAAAACGGTTTACGATCTTGCTCGATGGGGAGGCAATAGTTTACCTATTATTGCCAGTCAATTTACCCATTTAGGAATTCGTTTCCCTGTCAGCTGCTTACAAATATCTGCACAGAAATGGTTGCAGTTCTTGACAATCAAGTGATATGTATCTCCATTGTACCTTTCCGAGTAGTGCTCCATGAAATCTCTTACCTGTGCAGGGTCCATTGATGTGGTTCCAATGAATATCGATTTCTTAAACTTGAATCCCGGGCACTGTCGTGGCTCGACCTCGAAAATACCACTGGTTGGGTAGTCATGAGCTCCAAATGCATACTCAACGCCATGAACTATACATCAAAAACCCAATAGCAACGACATGAGTTTCATGTCTGTATATTGCATATTTAATTTAAGTGCATTGCTTCATCTTATGACATAATTTAAGCGCACTGCATTCATAAAATGTTATAATGCCGACTACTTCCTATTGTTTCTACCATTATATTTCCAACTCAATTAACTAGCTGGGAAATTATATATAAGGAAAAATTAGAATTAAAATATTTTATACTAAAACCCGTTATCAACCAACCTTCGACACCAGAATGAAAGATACCAAGGCCTGCCCAGTAAAAATAACCATTCATGGGCGTTAGGTCGTATACGTTGAGATACACAGGCGTACTGCTCGGACTTGAAGTAGCCGGCTTAACCTTTGGGAAAAAGCATCGAGAAGCTGATTTATTTTTGAAAAGGCGTGGCACCGCAGATCTCCATCTCTTCTTTTTTTCAAATTCCATCACTCTTGAATGATAATAACAGACTTCAATTAATGCCTACACAACCTGGGGTAAAATTAGCAAACATTAGCTATCTGTCTTAAAGGACGTAAGCTACTTCATAATCATCATATAGGAAAAACAACACAAAGACAGATACCGGAAAAGAAGAAGAAAAAAAAAGGAAAAAACCTCTAATAGAATTGACCGCTCTTGTATTCAAAGACTGCACAACATCTTTTACCTAAGACAAACCACCGTGTTGTGTGGAGATACCATAACAATATAATGGGGCATCCGTGCATACACTGCCATGAACTAACAAAACCAATATCCCTATGTTTAATTTGTTGACAGTTCAAATTCCCCATTCAACAACGAATACCAAATATCAGAAACCGTCCCGAAGCAAAGGTAACGTGCAATGGTTAATGGTTATCCTCTGGTTAGAGCAATTAACATCCGTAAGGCTATGCTTGGTAGAGAGAAGAAAATTAGAAAGATGGAAAATGGGATTATAAAACTATAAAGAATTCTTTGCATTGGTTTGCTTGGTAGGAAAGATGACGAAATTGAACTACGGTCATTTTTATTCTATTCATTGCTTGGTAGAATTGAAAAATGTGAGGAAAGAAAAAGAAACTTTTAAACTAACATCGTTTTTTTTCTTTCTTTTTTTCTCTTCTTGATTTGTTTTTCGGCATTAGGATGGAAAATGGTTCTCTATCTTATTTTCTTTCCTCCCACTTCTATTCGCATCAAATTTTCTTTCCAACTTTCTACTCAACCAAACACGCCCTAAGACCAGCAGTGGAACAAGTCAAATAAAAGGAGAAGCAAAATGGTTTATCATATGACAAAGAAAAAATCACATATAAATGATTGATTTTTTGTATACTCTATAATTATTGTTACCATAAAAAAACCAAATCCATGTAAAAGATAACATATAAAACTCCCGATGCAAATTAATTAACCCAACATTTTATGCGAAACTTTCCCAGAGATATCAACGAATTAACACCAATAGCCATGAAAAAGAAAAAGAAACACAATACACAATGATCCAAAATAAGGGGGTATAACCATAAAAAAAACAAGGGGGATAGTAAATTTTAGCGGCAAATTTAACCATCAAACCTACATATTTCCAAATACATTTCCAGATGGAAATATATTTATTTATTTTTATATATGGGAAACATGAGAAATCGTTATTGGTACTCTGCGAAAAGGAAAATAAATAAATTTGACAAAAGAAAAGAATCACTTCAGATATACTGAAAACATTCCATATCCAGAAGAAAACACAAAACAGAACAACAACAATACGATAGGTCAGAGAATCACACATTAAAACTCATAATTTCATCAAATGATCATGGCCAAAAGCATATTTTCGTAAAAATGAAAAATGGGAAACGTAGATAACGCGCGTACGGGTCGAGAGAAGGCCATTCGGCGTTGAACAACGAAAAGAAAGCCGCCACTACAGAATCGAAGGTGAGTTGCCTTTAAAGGAAACGCTTCGAGATTCTGTATGGCGGCGAACGGAGAGAAAACAATACGAAGAAGATGATGATGAGAAGTTTATTGTTAAAGAGAGATAAAGGACAAAAGCTTAAGCTCGCCCCCCGCCTGAAAACTGGAAAAAGCTCAGAGCGTTAAAGGAAGACGAGGAAAGAGAATAGGCAAAAGCTTTTCCTCTCTTCCCCCGTCTCCCTCCCTCCTGTGTCCAGCGCCGTGGTTAGGTATAAAGGCCTTTGCAAATTCTTATAAAGGGATTTTTTTTTGTTTAGATATATTTGATTTTGAGACTTTTATTTTTATACTTTTTAATATCAATAATTTAATTTCGGAACTCATATTTTTATTTTTATTAATAACAATAATTGATAAATATATTTAATTTCAATATCTCTATTTTTATATTTATTAATAGCAATAATTGATAAATATATTTTATTTAAAGCCTCTATTTTTTAAGACCATGCGCGATCGGTAAAACTTTCGAGATAATGTTCTGAAAGAAATTAATTCACGAGCTAATGCACTCCCAAGATTAATTGCTCAAATAGGGTGAAATTCACAGTGTTGACCGTAGGTCGCCATGCACTCCGGGCGACCTACCCTTGATCAAACAAAGAGAATGAACGTGAGAATGAACGTGTTGCATAGCACATGCACGTCCCAACACATAGGTCGCCATGCCCTCCGGGCAACCTACCCTCGCTCGGCTTTCCTCGGATTCCCTCGCATAGCTCGCTCGGTTGCCCTCGGATGCCCTCGCATAGCTCGTTCGGATGGTCTCGGTCGGATGGCCTCGATCGGATGGCCTCGGATGCCCAGCGTGTTGGAACGTGCATGGCACATGCAATCTCTTGTAGCTCGCCGAGAAGACATGACGACCTAGTAGGTCGCCCGAAAGGCATGGCAACCTACGGCCAACACTGTAGATTTCACATT